AAAAAAGGGCTTTATCGCCCCAAAGATGTGACTCCATATATACATGTCCTAATTAATCATATACCAAAATTTATTGAACTACATTAACGCTTTGGTTTTGCAGCATTTTCATGTGCCACTGTTGAAAAAAAAAACCACGACCAAGTATCTATCTTCTTTAGGAAAACAATGAAGGATAGTGGCAAAGGCACGGATAGAAAGTTGGCAATTTTTGAAATTCTCAGTTATAAAAATCAGTTATTATACTTTGCTCAAAAATCGAATTCTGATCAAGTCTATAAACCTCAATATTTTCATATTAAGGAAAATGTAAAATTTTAATTTCATTTCGATGTTACAATTATCCCTTTATCTATTGTTTTAAGGAAAGCGATAAATTTTAATGCATTTTTAGCATCATTCGCAGTATTATTCTGCACTTTATTAGCATTGTGTAGTTATTTTAGCATTTATACAAAATTTGGATGCTATAATAAAATTTTGAAGTGAAAAAATGATCTAACTACTGTATTCGTAAATGTCTATTTTTTATAGCTAATATTAAGTACAGTATCATCTTCTGAAGACTTTGATCCACCTCCCTGTTATGCAGGATGATTAGAGTTGGAATTTTATGCTTTTTTTTGATCATATAAGTTGTCTTAATTATTAAGTTTTTACAGCAGCAGCAGCAGCATGTAACTCGCATATCCTAGCCTGACGAATAGCTTCAAGTTTTCTATTGGGTTGAAGTGTCGATTATTAAGTGCAGAATTTAAAGTTAATAGAGTGAAACGATTAAACTATTGCTACCAGCTATACAGTCTTATAGTAACAATTCACTTAAAATTAAATACAGATAAATAAAATTAAAATTCAGATTATCATAATTGTTTGAACGTATATCTATTACTTTATTTAAATCTTCACATATTATACATTCTTTTTATAATGATGGGCATAAGGTATTAAAATTTTAGTAATAAATTCATACATATTAAAATAAAAAGAAAAAAATACCTAAGCCCTATAACTCTAAATTTGTTAAGTATAAAAACTCAAATATAAATAACCTGCTGAAGTCTGATTACCCTTTATATCTCTTTTGCTCTTTGTTTTCATTCGACCATTAATCTTGGTAATTCAGATTTTTTTTTATAGTTGGCTTTTTGAACCTGTGTGTTGAACAACAAAATAAATGTCTATTGATCATTGCTAAAGAATTTGCATCCCCAATTCTGATTTTTAAATAAACTAGCTAATTGTGAATATGCATCCGGTCCGTGAAAAAAACACTTATAGCTATGATTTTTACGATTATAATAATGGATATGTCCCTTAAAAGCACCAAAAAATAAACTTTCTAAACACAGAAATGTGATAGTTTGTTTGCCTGACCAACTATAATGCTCTTTAAGTTTGCTTCCTATAATATGAACGAGATCTGCTTTAAATTGCTTGCCTGCTTGCAAAGGTAATGTATATAACCTCTTACGGTAAATATTATACTTTTGAACAATTCTTTGGTGATACGTAAGACCTCTTTTTGTTTTATAAATCATTTCACAAATTTCACACTTAAAACCTTGTTGTAAAGTAATATGTGGTATAAGAACTATTGGTTCAGAAGAAATAAAGTTGTGACGCATATTAATAGCCATTATATTATTTATTGAGCCTATTAATTCGAAATAAAAAATTCAATAAATTAGCTTTGTAATATTTAAATAAATATAATAGTTAATTCTTACTCAAGTA